GCAGTTCTGTATATTCGAGGATACCATCAATACCGCCTCGCGCATGAAGTCCACTGCAGTTCCTAATTGTATTCACCTCTCTGCGAGCACGCGGAAGTGCTTGGAGTTCTCTCCAAGCCTGTCTTTCGAGGAGCGTGAGACATTCGTCAAAGGTAAAGGTATGTTGGTAACCTACAATGCCTCGCGGGCTGTTGGACCACTGCAAGATGCTGGTGTATTATCTCCTACAGTATCGGGGGAAGAGTCTTCAGCCGCCGCGATTAGCATTCCCATTGGGGAGAAGGTGGGGAGACTGGCGTCTTCTCTAAAGCGTTCTCGGTCTAGTGCTAGTGCACCATCAGTCAGCGCCTCAGCCACCCTTGCTGAGAGGCTTTCTGCAGGCATCAAGCGGTTCGTATGGAGGAGTAGGAGGACGGTGCGAGCCTCTGTTAACGACACTGACCACTCTTCCGTCCATTCGGGTGATGAGGAATATGTGAGCTACACTGACAGTTCGGCTCACTACGACGAGTCTCGCGATGTAAAGATGACAGTTGAGGCCCTGAGACGCCGCAGCAAAAGTCGTGATGCTAACGTGAGGCATGTCATCGAGTATACCGATCTCGGCAGAGACAGGGCCAACCTGTTCACTCTGGAATTCCTACAGAGAGCTCATGAGATCGAGTTTCGCAAAGAACATCTTGCGACATTTGCAACCTCTAAATGGACTCGACGTGTTTTATTGATACTATTGGTGTCTTACCTCCTCCAGACCATCGAGCTAGTCGCCGTACCACAACAGCCACAAATCATACTCTCCCGTCTCCTCCTTGCTCGTATCACCGTATCGGTCCTTTTGATGGTACTCTATATCGTTCATTCGCTGGGGAATATCATACCCGCATCCGCTCTGAGACTACTCACGGTCGTAGTCTACGCTGTTGGCATTTTGCTAACTTCATTACATACATACGCATTTCTCGAATCGGGACGGCTACAATATTGTGAAGTCGATGATGACCTGGCATGTAGCAGTCTGGACACCGCAAATGAGTCCCCTATTATAATGTAATAGATTGTGCTGTCCCTGTTCAATGATCGGTGATAACCTTGGTCATCCATTCGACGTCAGAGTCTATCATAATCAGTTTCTCGCGAGCACCATGCCAGGTATCAGTCGTACGCGAATAGCCTCGAGCTGACCATGTGGTTGATGGTGATTAACTTCAAAGCGGCATTGCTTTTCAAGCATCTCATCTATATCAACATCATCATCCTCGTGCCAGTACTGGTATTGTGGAACCTCAGTGACTGCGTGGGGTTTGACCTGGCTATAGAGGTAGTCGCCACGACACAGTTGTTCTCTGGAGATTTATCTCAAACTAATTCCAAGTAGAAGCACAGCGTAGCTAGAGGCTTGTCGGCGTGAAAAATGTTCGACTTGAACTATTATGTTTCCTCGCATTCGCAGTGCTTATCTGGTGACTCTGTGCAGATATCAAGATTGGCTGCTTGTTTTGCCTTCGTTGCGGCAATCATGGTACGGATGAGAGAGTCCTGGGAAAGAAGAATATATCTAACCAACATTGAGTACCGAAGTTGGCAGAAACGAGTCCGTCGATTATTGTCGGAATTCATGCCCTCCTCCGTAGGTCCTGACTTCGACAAAGGCTTCCTAAGTATGTCCTTGTGGTTCCTTTAGGCATTGGAAGGCTATCTAGCAGACAAGTACATAGCGTCGTTGTATAAAAATATGACCCTTCTGTTCGCCGACATATGTAACTACACAGCCTATGCGAAGAGCGCCCCTGCCGAGCGGGTTGTATCTCTTCTCACCAACTTATTCTCGCGGTTCGACGATTTATCGGATGTTCACGGGGTGTACAAGGTGAGCTCTTCGGATAGCTCTAGAACCCGTAGCTACATCTTTTAAGGATGCTCCCGTTCGTGTGTCATTCCTCTGCGATGCAACGCGAGCATTCAAGCACGACTGGTGTCTGCTGATGCTCAGGTGCATACTATTGGGGATGCCTACGTTGCGAGCACTGAACCAAAAGAGGGAGTGGATAAGGTGTGTTGAGTCGTACCACTGAAACTATCATAGAACCCTCTGCAAAGACTATCGGCGGCTCCGAATTGATTCTGCGGTCCTGATTCGATTGGTAACAGCAAATATTGGCAGGTACAGTCTGCTAGCAAGATGGTATCGTTCGCACAGGCAATGGTGGAGGCTCTCAGTACGGTTCGCGAGGAAATGTCGGCGCCGGAATTGGAAATGCGAATAGGCTTGCACCTCGGCAAATTCGTTGGCGGGATTATTGGTGAGCCTAGTAGCTGCTTGTAATTTCGAACAGCATTGTGTATGGAGACTTCATCCTAACTTTCCATCGCAGCTACCACGAAGATCAACTATGACATCTTTGGTGTTGATGTCACGATAGCCAATCAAGTCGAGACAGCGGGTATACCCGGCAAAATAGTTGCATCTAACTCTCTCCGCGGGTAGGCCATTTAGTCACTCGGGGCGGCGTCCAACCTATGCGTCTTTCGTGTAGTCAAGATTGGAGGAGTTTTGAGGGCTGTTCGTAGCTCGTCCTTCAGATATCTGATTCATCATTTCCCGGAAAAGTATAGATTCCGTTTCCATAAAACAATAGAGACGCTGGTTCCTGACGATTCCGGTGAGTTCTACAGTGTAGTGCAGACAGTTGTTCTCCCGCAGCTAGATGTTCAAGGATAGATTCTCAGAAAAGCGCCAGCCGACATGCAGCCATCAAAGAGTCGTTGTCAAGCGTCTGAATATTTACGAAATATCCACAAGAAAGATGCGATATGGCCAGTTCGAAACTGTCTGATAACCCGGTCAATTCAACCCCGAGTAATTTGATCTCTGAGTCACAGATCGAAGAGAGCCATGATCAGAGACTCCGAGCCCACGTTATGCAAACAAATTATTTACATAAGTTGATTGTTGATTTCGACGATAGTTTGTTAATTCGCCGACTCAACGCTAGAGCCATCTGGCATATGTTTCAGGAGGAGTTCAAAGTG